TTGAGAGAGACGATGCAGCTCTAAAAATTGAAATCGAGAGGAGAGAGATGAAATTGCATAAATGAGAAATGGTAGGCGGCTAGGGTTAATGAAAATGTTAGAGTATGAGTAACTAATAGTTATTAAGCATATGAATATATTTTCTGTATTATAATTTGACAAATCAAGAGTTGGCTCAGTGGTGAAGTTCCATGATTCTCCAAGGGGAGATTAGGGCTTCGAATCCTTGCGGCCTCATTTTTGAGGTAATTATCTAAAGTCGGTTCAGTTTGGGAAAACTGAAATCCACAAATGCTAGACCGAATACCAAACCGAACTGGGCGGTTCGGGATAATAACCAAACCGAAAATTTTGGGCAATTTTTGGATAATTTCAGTTTGGGTTCGGTATGGATCTGGATTTTCGGGAATTTTTTCCAGCCCTACTCATAAGTTTGATATAGTGAACTTATGAGTTCAAAATTTTCAGCTCACTTAGAAGTGTGATTCCTTGATGATTTCAATATATTGGTAATGACACTCACTTTTTCTGCCCTACTATGGTCTTGTGGAAGGCCTAACGAGTAAAGATGTACAAACATCGCAGAAATTTAGAATAAATATTAAATAGTGGATACATAAAAGTTTAAAAATTTTCAAAGTCTTGCAAAATTGAGGAGATCCGAATTATGTTCTGAAATTCAGAGATAAAATTGATTCCGAATTTCCAATAAATTTTGATAATCCAATATTCCAATATTGGAACTAATATTTGATTCCGAAACTTTTTAAGATTGGCATGGGAATGCTTATTTCCCATTCGATCTAACCGAAAGTCACCCCTGTATCTCTCCACTTGTATCTTAAAATATGGTGTACCCCATATTTTGGGTACACTAAAAAATTTCTCGTCAACCATTACGATAAAATTAAGGAAGCATTTTGGCTCACAACGACTCTTAAAACATGACGTGCTAAAAATGGCAATTTTCAAAAAGATGGTGTTATCCACACACTCATTTGTACCTATCACACTCCTTGTTAATTTTTGGTATTGATCTTCTTCAATTCATTTGATTCGACAGCTAAAAATTAAGAGAGTATGTAAGAAGTAAAAATGAGTGTGTAAATAACACTACCCTTTTTAAAATTTCCTATTGGCAAGTGGTTTTTCACTTGTCATCAAATTGTGAAAAAGAAGAGAAAAAAAAGGATAAATTACATAAAACTACCTCAACTATAGGTCAAACCACAATCGCATACCTCATGTTTTAAACATTGCAATGTCATACCTCAACTTATGAATGCGTTGCATGTCAAACCTCCGTTAAATGTTCTGTCAATTTAGCTGTTAAATGATGATGTGGCAAGAGTGGGGTCCACTCTTTGTCTGACTGGATTGAAATATTGATAAAAATTCTTAATTTATTAATATTAATATTCCTAAACCGTGAAAAATATTAATATTAAAAAAAATAAAAAAAATATTTTTTTAATTCGGGGCTTAAGACTGCTGGAGAAGGGTGCCCGCTCGTTGAAGAAGCAAAACTTGACGCCAATGACGAGATCCCGCCATTGGAAGCGGTATAGAACCCTAAATTGAAGTGAAGCGAGGAGAGGGAGAAAGGGAGGAGTCTTCCTAAAGTCGTTTGTGAGAAAAACACAACCTAGATCCAAACCCTAAATTGAAGTAATTTTTTAAAAATCGAGTAAATCAAAGAGTTAAGTGAGAAGCTAGACTTTGGGACTGGAGCGTTTCCGGTGCAAAGGCATTTAAATCCTGTTGGTGGATCATAATCTCACTCTCACAGGCCATCTATAACAACTCTATCTTTGTCCGCACAAACTCATCTGGTTAGCCGCTAGTGGAGTACCCGAACCCGAACCACCTTCATTCTTCTATTGATTTCACCGCCGACAATTGGGCCTCTCTTGTTTCTGATTCCCCGCGTGTTATGATCCCACATCAACTACACTTATGGAGGTGTAGGGATTCTTAAGTCCTCAGGGTCCTCCCACCTATTGGACTAGTATTTTGGGTTGGGCTTTTCCTTTGGACTTGAGTACCTAACATTGGTATCAGAGCCTAGGTTCTCGACGTTGCGGAGGGGGTGACTTAGAAATGGCTACCTTAACGGGACGACCAAAGGGTACGCCGCCGTTAAGAGTGAAAGCCACCATAGTAAGGGTTGCCGTGGGCGTCGGTTTCCGAAGGGTGGTGTAATGTTATGATCCCACATCGACTACACTTATGGGGGTGTAGGGGTTCTTAAGTCCTTGGGGTCCTCCCACCTATTGGACTAATCTTTTGGGTTGGGCTCTTCCCTTGGGCTTGAGTACCTAACATTGGTATTAAAGCCTAGGTTCCCGATGTTGCGGAGGGGGCGACCTGGAAAAGGCTACCTTAACATGATGACCAAAGGGTGCGTCGCCGTTAAGAGTGAAAGCCACCAGAGTAAGGGCCGTCGTGGGCGTCGGCTTCCGAAGGGTGGTGTAATGTTATGATCCCACATCGACTACACTTATAGGGATGTAGGGGTTCTTAAGTCTTTGGAGTCCTCCCACCTATTGGACTAGTCTTTTGAATTAGGCTATTCCCTTAGGCTTGAGTACCTAACACCACGACTTTACTATGCTGAACCGTGATTCGCAATCCTCTCGATTCAATTGTCGACGTTGGCAATGATGAGTTGGTCCCGAGATTCGCAGGCGGAAGGCAACTCGTGGAGCTTGCCTGTGCAACTCGGGAAGATTGTACCTCCTCACCTCCAGCAGTCTTAAGGCCCACGAATAAAGAAATTATTTTTTCAATTTTTTTTTTAACAATTTTCAGTTTTTCATTAATATTAATATTTTTTTGGGTTTACGAATATTAGTATTAATAAATTAAGAATCTTTTATCAATATTTAATCCAGTTGGGCAAGAGTGGACCCACCCTTAGCACATCAATATTTAACAGTTAAATTGACATAAAATTTAACGGATGTCTAATATTACAACAAATTAATAAATTAAGGTATATTATTGCAATGTTTAAAACAAGAAATTGTGGTTTGATCCGTAGTTAAGGTAGATATGTGTGATTTATCCCAAAGAAATATAAAATGGGAGCTCACACTAAGACCAACTCCAACCCTGGGCTAAAAGCCAATTTTTTAGCCCAAAATTCCCCCCAAACACCCCCCAACCCAAGCTAAAATATTGGGCTAAAAGGGGAATGCTAAAGTTGGGCCAAATTCCCCCCCCCCAACCGCGTGGACTCGCCCAGTTTTGGGCCACTCTCGGCCCGTGGACTCGCGCACGCGCCCCACGCCCCCAACTTGCAACCGGAGCCCGACAGGAAGGGAGCCTAGCTTCAGGCCTTGTCGGCCACTCATCCGAGCCCAACGGCTCTTTTCAAAATCAGACGGGCAGCATTTAAGGACCGTTGGTTGATCCAACGGTCCAAATTCAAACTTTATTTTTAAAAAATATGTTATTTTAAAATACATTGAATCCAACGGTTGAGATTGAATATACTCAAATCTAACGGTAAAAAAAAAGATCTAACGGCCCAAATTTAAATCCAACGGCTAAAATAATTAAATAAATTTATTTAACACAAAATTTACCCAAAAACTCTATAAATACCTATGTATTTGTTCAAACATCCACACAAAATTCAATTTTCTCCTACAATTCTTTCAATTTATCTTTCTATCATTTCTTTCCATTTCCAAATTGTTCAACATGGCAAGAGAGCATGTTAGAGGTCGTAATTGGACCTTTGAGGAAGATGTTTCTTTATGCTTGGCATGGGTTTCTGTTAGTGAAGATGGTGCAGTTGGCACAAATCAAAATAAAAAGGTTTTGTGGGATAAAATCATTGCAAAGTTTCAAGAAAACTGCAACGGCAGCGGGCGAGACGGTGGTGGTGTTTGTGATCGGTGGAAGACTATCAACAAAGCATGCACTTTATGGAAGGGAAGCTTAGAGAGAGTCATGGTTGGCATGCCTAGTGGAAGGAGCGCCATAGAAATTATGAGTTTTTTTCTTGATATTTTATTTGTCATGTACATAATATTATTTTGCAACTAATTATTTTTATGTATTTTTTGCATAGGGTGACAAAGCAATGGAAATTTACAAGACAAGAGTAACACCAAAAAATCAAGTTTTTAAGTTGCAACATGCTTGGGACGTCCTCAAGGATTGTCCAAGGTGGGCAACCGATGCAGACCAACAATGGGAAAGATTATTTCAACGTGAAGCCGCACCGAGAAATGAAGGTGGCGATGAAGGTGTCGATGAAATGACCCCATCTCCTTCTTTAGCAAGGCCCCCGGGAAGAGATAAGCAAAAGGAAGCAAAGAGAAAAGGGAAGTCCCAAGATTTGACGAGTGGAGACTTTGCTACCGGAATTGCAAAATTGCACGAAACTCATAGCGCTCGCCAAGAAGAAGCGGCCCGATTGGGTTTGCAAATGAAGGAAATCTCGGATAGGGAGGAAAATAGGTTTGAAATTGAATTCATGATGAAGGACCTCAGCAAATACACTCCAGAGAGGAAGAAGTTCTTACGTAATAAGCAAAAGGAAATTATGCGAAAGTCTGCCTTAAGGAGTATGTTTCAAGATGATGAATCCTCTGAACCCTATATCCCAACATTTCAACGAAGTCCATCACCAAGTGAAGATGGTGGATATGATTGTTAAGTTTATGTAGTGTATGAATTATGTGCTTTATTAATTAAGTTTATTAATTGTCGTTTGTATTAAGTTTATGTTGTTTATTATGTTGTCGTTTGTATTAAGTTTATGTTGTTTATTATGTGGTTTATGTACTTTATTAAATTTATGTCTTATTATTATTGTTTCTATTTAATCTAGATGTTTTCAATAATTATTGTACTTATTATTTCAACCTCCATTCAATAATTCAACCTCCATTCAATAAATTATCCAATGTAGTAGACAAATAACAACATAGTACACTTAAAATTATTACATAAATGCTCAACCAACATCATCAACGTTCTCCTTCTCAACGCCACACATGCTCAACCAAATCCTTGCGGAGTGTGTCATGAATTTGAAGAGCTTGAATTCTATTTAAACGTCTCATATACTCACCCAAGGTGATCCTATCATGTCGGGTCTCATATGTGGTTGGAGCGAGATATTCAACATCTCTTGCAATAGCTCTCGCATGTGTTGGTTGGTCATCATTCACATCTTCGTCTGAATCTTCTTCAAATTCGATGTACTCATCTTCCACTATCATATTGTGCAAAATTATGCACGTCATCATGATTGAATGGAGGTCTTCGGGTTGCCAAAATCGTGCAGGCCCTCTAACAATGGCCCATCGAGCTTGTAAGATCCCGAATGCTCTCTCCACATCCTTCCTGTAAGACTCTTGCCTCTGCGAAAATAATTTCTTCTTTGCATTATCGGGATGAGAAAAACTTTTGACAAAGGTAGACCAACTAGGATAAATACCATTAGTTAGGTAGTAACCTAGCTCATACATATTACCATTTACCTTGTATCGAAATTCTGGTGCCCATCCATTTACAACCTCATCGAACAGAGGAGAAGACCAAAGAACGTTGATATCGTTGTTTGATCCGGGAGAGTCGAAGAATGCATGCCAAATCCATGTGTCGTAAGATGCCACAGCCTCCAACATGATGGTTGGCTTGTTATGACGGCCCTTGAATTGGCCAGCCCAACTAGTAGGACAATTCTTCAACTCCCAATGCATACAATCGAGACTTCCTATCATGCCCGGGAAGCCTTTTTTGTCTGCCTTGCGTAGAAGCCTTTTCAAGTCTTCACGAGTTGGCTTGCGGAGGTATGTGGCTCCATATATGGCTTGAATTGCTTGACAGAAGCGATTCAGGTTCTTAATAGCAGTACTCTCCGCAAGTCGGCAATATTCGTCAGTTGAGTCAGTAGAGCACCCATTAGCTAGCATTCGAAATGCAGATGTGAGCTTTTGATAAGGTGATAGACTTTGTCGGCCTACGACATCTATCTTCCTTGCAAAGTAGTGGTCATGATTGACAACTGCGTTCAAGATGCCTTCAAAAAGCTCTCTCCTCATCCGAAACCGCCTCCGAAAATCATGAGCAGGAAATCTTGGCCGCTCAATGAAATAATCTTTCATCATTTGGTCATGATACTCTTTTCTATCATGCTGCACGAATGAACGTCCCGTGACAGAACCACGATGGCTAGATTCGCCATGGTGCTCATATTGCATAAACGAGTTTACAAGTTCAGCTTCGACGTTGATCAGTTCTAAATCCTCAATGTCAAGCCTTGCTTGGTATTGTGCCATCTCCATTGCCCTGCTACGCCTGCTTCTATCACCCATTGATGAGATATTGAGAATTTTTAGGAAACAAAAACTCTTTGAAAGTTGAAAGATTGGTGAATATAGAGGATGATTGAAGGTTGAAAGATTGTGTGATCAACTAATATTGGACCTGTGTTTATATAGAGGATGATTGATGAACGGTTGGTGAAAGTTGAAAAATTTGTGTTGAACGGTTGGTGAAAGTTGAAAGTTTGGTGTTGAAAGTTGAAAGTTTGGTGTTGAACGGTTGGTGAAAGTTTAAAGGTTGGTGAAAGTAGCTTGCTTTGTGAAAAATTTAATGATTTTTCAATATTTATCGGAATTTAAATTTTTTTGGATTAAAATGTTCATAAAATTAATTTACAATAATCTACATATTTATTTTTAAAAAAAATTGATTTAAGAAAAAAATTAGCCTAAGTTCATTTTTTAATAATTTCGGGCTACAATTTTAGGCCAGAAGAGTTGGAGCAGAAAAGATGTTTCTAGGCTAAAAAGCCAAATTTTCCAGGCTAAAAAATTTGGCTTTTAGCCCAAAGTTGGAGATGGTCTAAAGAAAGTCGCGGCAGCATTTATCTACTAGTAGCAGCCGCTAGGCTGCTAGCCAGCAATGCCGTTTCCATTTCTCTCTCCTCCTCCCCACTATTCTCTCACCGGATTATTATCCAATCCCAATCGCCATTACCATCTCAGTCCCACTCCCACCGGATACCATGAAGATGATGGTGGCATTAAAGCGCGTCGACGACTACGCCGTCAAAATCCGAGTCAAACCAGACAAGGCCAGCCAAGCCATTCCAAATCCAGTTCTTGTTTCGTTTCAGAATCATGTAATTCTAATCTAACAGTTTCAATACTTCCATTCCACAGAGCAGCGTGGAGACCCATAACGTGAAGATGTCGATGAACCCCTTCTGCGAGATTGCTTTGGAAGAGGCCCTCCGGATTAAAGAATCCGGGGCGGCGTCGGAGGTGGTGGCCCTCTCCATGGGACTAAAACAGTGCGTAGGTACGCTCAGGACATGACTGGCTATGGGCGCCGATAGGGGGATTCATGTGGAGATTGATGGCCCTCTCTACCCCTTATCCGTTGCTAAGCTTCTGAGAGCTCTCGTGGAGGTTGAGAAGCCTGGGCTTCTTATCCTGGGCAAACAGGTTACATGTAAATTTCTTTTAGTTTTTAATGAGTTTAAAGATTTGGGTTTTGTGTGGGAGAACGTCGTGCTCCTTTGCATCAAAGTTCGAATCCCCATTCCCGTAGTCGAGATTAGATTAATTAGAATATCGCTTGAAAAATTAAAAGAGATATTGGGTTTTGTGGCTTTACATTGTTGGTATTGGTTTGAAGACGTGAAAATTTGATCTTTTATGCATAATTGAATGCTTGTGTAGGCTATCGATGATGGTTGCAATCAAACGGGGAAAATGGTGGCAGGGCTGCTGAACTGGCCTCAGGGGACGTTTGCTTCAAAGGTTAGTTTTTTATCTCTTCATTCATTCAGCTAGAGAAGAAATGTACTTGCTTTGATTTTGTTTACTTTGGTTTCACGCTTCCTTGATTTTCTTTTGTTTGACATAATTAAACGTTTGAGGAATATATTAAGGTTTCAAATGTAGGTGAATATGAGACAAATTTTGAACTGCAGATGTTGTTTTGGGGGCTTTTAATCGATTAATAAAAAATTTAATCTGTTTAGACTCTGAGTTAATAGTTGGTTGATATGAGTTTGTTGATGCTACATATTATCGGTTTCTAATTTGCCTTTTGTTCTCAAGGGTGAGCAAAGGTTTTGCTTTGCAATCCATTAAATTGTAGTTGGTGAGAAGCTCCACCCCATTTCTTAGTTTCATAGTTTAGTATCATGCAGCAGAGAGACTTCTAAAGAAGTTAATACCCTCGAAAGTTTGAGGTTACGGAGGTGTTGGTCTCTCTATGCTTTCCAAATACATATGTTCTATAGATATCCCAATTGACCAGGATATGTATGGCTTCTGAGGGTCCTTATCGCATAGGCAATAACAAGTGGAAAAAATGGATATTCTGTTTTGCAAAACGTTTTTGCTTTGGTCAAGGTGAGTGTTAAAAGCATAGCAGGAGTGCCACAAGGCCAAATTGCGGATGAAAGGTTCTAATAGTGAAACAAGATTGTAAAGAACATTAATTAAGGTGGCAAGAGTATAGTTAGAGGCATATATATTGATGTTGTCACATGTTATTCATCTTGAGTCTTGACAATCTGAGGATGTAGTTTCTGTCACTCAATATGCTTATTTCAAATTTCTTTCCTTCTAGGCTAGTCTTTGATTAAATTCACTACGGTTGACGACATATTGGATCAGAGACTCTTGGTGTTTGAAGTACTGGGTGATGGGGGATCTGTTTTTACTAAAATCTATTTCTTCTATCTTTCATCTTTAAATCCCTGGTATTCCTAAATTGCATTTCTTTTCTTAAGGAATAAAGGCTTATTTTTTCTTTCTCTTTACTCTATCTTAAAGATATTATTCTTTTAGCCCAAACAAAGTTATCCTCCTTCTGTTGTATACAAGAGATTGTTCTTCTTATAATTTCGTATTCCTGAGAATGTTTGTCCATTTAAAGTCTATGCATGTGTACTATTGTACATGCTTTGTAAAAATCTCTGTGTTTGTCACTGTTACTTATTTGCATGTGTTAAACTGTCTCTTCGACTTCACATTTAGTTTAGCGAAAAATGAGATGTATTGATAGTATTTTGTTCTATTCTGATTTTCATACATTATGAATTTATTCCTTTGACTAAACGCCTATGTCTTACATGGCCGGTCCCAAGCCCGGATAAAGGAGGAGGGGGAGGGCGTCAGGTAGTCGACAGCCGGCACTCCATGATCACGTCGAATCCTTATGAAAATGAATCCAGAACAAAATCGCGCTAAAGCTAGGGCGTCGCCCGTAAGTGGCGCGCTGTGTGGCCTGAGCACAGTGATAAGTGAGCAAGGGTCGCTGTATCTCCATCGGCACCCGGATGCAGTGTTAAATGAGCAAGGGGGTCATAGAAACTTCTTTTCGAACGACTCCACTCAAAGTTGTTTGGGAGCATATGCTCCTATCAACTTTACCCGGGACACACAAAAGAAGTACTTTGATCCTATTAGACGGGGGAGGGTGAAGAAGCTAGGATAGAAGGGTAGAGTTCAAGAGAGCAAAATGCGTTTAGGAACGTGGAATATAGGAACCTTAACGGGAAAATCTATGGAAGTAGTGGAAGTTATGGTGAGGAGAAGGATAAATATTATGTGCCTACAAGAAACTAAGTGGGTTGGTAGTAAGGCAAAGGATCTAGAAAACTCAGGGTTTAAACTTTGGTATTCGGGCACAAATAGAACGAGAAACGGTGTTGGCATCATCGTGGACAAGACCTTGGTACAAGATGTTGTAGATGTCAAGAGGGTAGGAGATAGAATCATGGCAATCAAGATTGTAATAGGACAAGAACTTATCAATGTGATTAGTGCGTACGCACCTCAAGTAGGGATGGATACGAGTTCGAAGGAGAAATTTTGGGAAGATCTTGGAGACTTGGTGCAAGGAATTGCTCAGACGGAGAGAAGTTATTTATAGGAGGAGATTTAAATGGACACGTGGGCAGGGAGACAGGCAACTATGGAGGTTTTCATGGTGGCCATGGTTTTGGGGAGAGAAACGAGGATGGGGAAGCTATCTTGGATTTTGCAATGGCATATGATCTCTTCTTAGCCAACACCTTCTTTAAGAAGAGAGAAGAACATGTGATCACCTACAAGAGTGGGTCGTCAAAAACACAAATAGATTTTCTTCTAATGAGGAAAGGGGATCGTATAACTTGTAAGGATTGCAAGGTTATACCAGGAGAGAGCGTGGCTAATCAACATCGCTTGTTGGTGATGGATGTACATATCAAAAGAGTAAGACAAAAGAACAAGACTTGGAAGTGCCCAAGGACTAGATGGTGGAATCTAAAAGAAGAAAAACAAGCCATTTTCAAAGAGAAAGGTAATCACCCAATGTGTGTGGGATAGAGAGGGGGAAGCTAGCCAAATGTGGGATTCCATGGCTAGTTGTATCCGAAAAGTAGCAAAAGAGGTATTAGGAGAGTCCAAGGGCTTTGCCCCACACCAAAAGGAATCTTGGTGGTGGAATGAGGAGGCACAAACAAAGGTGAAGGCTAAGAAGGAATGTTGTAAAGCCTTATACAAGGAGAGGACTGATGAAAATGGTGAAAGGTATAGAAAAGCGAAGCAAGAGGCGAAGAAAGCTGTCAGAGAAGCTAAGTTAGCGGCTTACGACGATATGTATAAACGACTAGATACCAAAGAAGGAGAGTTGGATATCTATAAACTATCTAGAGTAAGGGAAAAGAAGACAAGGGACCTAAACCAAGTGAGGTGCATCAAGGATGAGGATGGAAAGGTTCTTGCTACAGAGAACGCGGTTAAAGACAGATGGAGAGGTTATTTTCATAATCTTTTCAATGAAGGACATGAAAGGAGTGCTTCTTTAGGGGAGTTGAGTAACTCAGAAGAGTGTAGAAACTACTCTTTTTATCGTCGAATCCGGAAGGAAGAAGTGGTTGTAGCTTTGAAGAAGATGAAGCATAAAAAAGCAATAGGCCCAGACGATATACCAATCGAAGTGTGGAAACTTTTGGGAGAGACAGGTATAACATGGCTCACTGACCTTTTCAATAGGATTTTGAAAACGAAGAAGATGCCAAATGAGTGGCGAACGAGCACTTTGGTGCCTATCTACAAGAATAAGGGCGACGTACAAAATTGCATGAACTATAGGGGTATTAAGCTAATGAGTCATACAATGAAGCTCTGGGAGAGAGTCATTGAGCATAGATTGAGGCAAGAGACACGGGTTTCGGACAACCAATTCGGGTTCATGCCAGGGCGCTCAACCATGGAGGCAATCTATCTCTTACGAAGATTGATGGAAAGATATAGAGATGGGAAAAAGGATTTACACATGGTCTTTATAGATTTGCAAAAAGCGT